GTCATCCCTGAGCTTGCTCCTGGGACAGCTTGGGAGCAGCCAGAGCCAACCTCGTGCTTGGAAGGGACGGAGGGAAGCAGGGGACAGGAAGTCCCAAGTGCCGAGTTTGGAGGCTCTCTTCCTCCTCCACTGATGCTCCCCAAACCACCCCCACAGCAAAGTGTAGGCTCCAGCCTCCGCACCATCTAGTGGTCCAAAGACAGTGAGGGGTGGCCCCACTGTGACCACACGGCGTAGAGCTTGGCCTGGGAGCTCCGCCACACAGCCATGCCCACCTCAGCCCCTGCCGCAGGTCCAGGAAAGCCCAGATCACTCTAAGCCGAGGTCTCGCAGCTGCTGATCCTCCGGAGGCGCCAGTGTCTGCCAGTCATCCCAGGGGCTCAGTCCCAGGACTTGCTGACCCACACTGCCAGAGAATGCTGGGTGGTGGGCGCCAGTGTCTCCGTTTGGCCTCATTTCTTAGAGCAGGGGACAACCCCTGCATCAGCAAAGCCAGATTTCATCAAATTAAAATAAAACCTCCAGGTCTGACCAAGGAAGCCAGGCTGAGGGCTGGCATCAGAGATTGTGTGTCCTCAGGCGCAGGGCAATAAATTCGGGCGTGCGGGCAAACTATTTTGTGAGCTTCATGGAAACTTACAGTGTGATTTCAAAGCAGATTTTTATGCTAAGTAGTAGTAAGAAAGAAAAGTCTGTAGACGCAGCTGGTAGTTATTTGGAACTTTGGAAGCTGATTGTGGGAGACCCACACTGAAGCATCCTCAGAGAACTGGCGGCGGGGGGGGGGGATGCCTGCTGGTCTTCAGGGACAGATGGACAGATGGAGCCACCGCTCCCGGGAGGCCTTGCCCAGCTGGACCCCATCCTGCAGGCCCCAAAGCCCTTCTACACCAGGCTCTGCCCTCCACTGTCTCCTTGAACAAGACCCACAGCCGGCGCAGCCGCGTCTGTGGGGCAGCAGGGGCCCTCCCCTCACTGTGGCCCCCTCCCTTTATAGTGTGCACACAGGAGCGGGGCTGAAGCCAAGGCCTTGGGGTGCTGGGCAGTGTGCTCACCACACAGCCACTGTGGGAGTCCCTAGAAAAGGACGTGACTACCCAGACCAGGGACCACTTGAGTTGGAAAGCCCCTGCCCCCTAGATGGAGCTGGGGCTCAACTGTCAGGAAAGGAATTATGCTGGGGCAGTGGTGCATGCCTATGATCCCAGCTCCTCTGGAGGCTGAGGCAGGAGGATCACAAGATCAAAGCTAAGCTGCACAATTTAGTGAGACTGTCTTGCTTACTTTTCTCTTGTTGCTTGGGACAGAATACCCAACACCCAAAGTTAAAGGAGGAAAGTTGATTTAGCGTACAGCCTGTTCTCCCAGGTGCACAGGGTCACTGGCTCTGCTCCTCCTGCAGCAGCTCTGTGCAGGCTGTGGGCCATGGCCTCCCAGTCCCTGAGGGCTCCCCGTTTCTGCCCCCAGCGTCCCCCACATCCCAAAGCAAGGGCTGCATGTCCCTTGTCCTTTGCACCTGGCATCCCCATGCCCTGCCTGCTGTCCTGAGAAAGCTCTGTGGTTCTGAAGGGCTTGTGGCAAAATTGGCTGCCGAGACATCTACAAGAACCCCTCGGGCTTGGTGACACCCTGGGGCCTGCGGGCTCCGGCGGTTGTGGTGGGCACTCTGGGGCTGCGCCTAGAAATCCATGACCAGAGCCCGGGGAGTCAGGCTCAGAGGATGCTAGGAAGAGGCTCCTTGCAGATGAACACAGCCACTCCCCGTGAGCGCGCTTGTCCCAGCGAGCACACCCCTGCCCTATCCTCACTTCTGCCTCACACTGTCCAGGACTACGTGAGCACTCTCACATTCTTGTTCTCTTTCCCTGATGATCCCAAGTTAGGCCTTATCAGCCCCATTTTGCAAATCAGAAAACTGAGTTTGGAGAGGATTCATAGCCCACCCACAATTAAGAGAGATTAAGGGAGATCAGAGTGGCTCCAGACATCCCTGCCCTCCCCAGTGCCCACCAGGCAGCCAGGGGCAAGGCCAGACTGGGGGATCTCCCACCTTCAGGCGAGGCAGCAGTGACACCCTCGCTGGAGCTGCTGGGGTGCCGCAGGCTGCATGGCCTGTGCTGGGTGACACAATCCCCAGGATGAAATTCTAGCCGCAGCTCCCACCTCACACCCTGGCCCTCGCTGTCCCTTAGAGTGCAACTGGGCACAACTGCTTGGGGAGCGGTGGGCAGTGCCCCTACCCATCCTGCACGCAGGGCCACAGCAATGCACCGGAGTCTCCAGGCACAAGAAATAGGCAGTCCAGAGATGGGTCAGTAGGCGTCCTGCAGCACACACGGGACAGGCAGAGGGCAGGCGTGACGGGGCCGGCACACAGGGGCCTCTCGGACACCCCCAGGTCAAGTGTGAAAATGCAGCAGTGTGTGGCTAGGGAGTTGGGTGTCCTGAGAGGTTAGCAGGAGGCGGGAGAGGCCACAGGCATGGACCTTCCACAGTGGCCGCGCTGGGCTGGGGGAGGGAGGGCGAGGGGCGTGGATGGCAGCAGGGCTTCAGGGCTCAGGCGACATTGTATCCGCTGAGCACGCAGCACCCAACCCGGCACAGCACGTGACACCCACCCAGCTCGGCAGGGCCTCTCGCACCTGCAAAATACCACATAGTGCTCAGTAAGCTGCAAATGCGCCGGCCTCTGAAGTCATTCTCATCACGTCCTACTGGGCAGAAAGAGCAGGAAACAAGGTCAGATAGGCACTACCGTGTACGCACAGAATAAATCAGAAGAGAAGCAAATGCAGTTTTTATCCAAAAAAGAAGCCAGCCAGCCTATAATACAGTGGAGCTGCAGGAAGCAGCTGCCAGAGCCTTCGCTGGGCTGGACACAGCGGCTGGTTGCGGCTTCCCAGGGTTGTGGTGCGTGGACATCGCTTCTGGGGCCAAAGGCCAATACTGCTTCTCTTTTCAAATGCGTTTGTTCTCACCAGACAGCAGAAAGGACAAGTTTTAGCCTGGCTGGGGGAGTTTTTATCACTCTGGTGCTGACCAGAAAGGACTCGGGCCTAAAAGAGTGCAGGTCGGAGCCTTGGCTCTGGGCCTTCCCCACCGCCGACTCCAGCCTCAGTTTCCCTGTCTGTAAGAAGGGAGCAGAGGCCCCTTCCCAATGGCCGCGTGTGTGTGGACACAGACTGGGGTGGGGTCCCGGGAGTGGCTCCGGCCTTCTGCTGCAGGAACGGCAGCTGTGGTGCGGAAGCCAGGGGTGTTGGGAGGGACACGGGGCGGCGCACCTTTCCTGTAAGTGTTTGCAGCTTAAGCTCCACTGTGCACTTTGGTCCCTTCATACGTCCTTAGGAGGGAAAGCCTTTGCCCCCAAGGGACACAAAGTAAACTCCTAGAACCCGAGCAGATGCCCTGGACGCAAAAGTGAGACTCACAGGTGAGGAGAGAGCCTGGCCTCGCTCCTCCTTCCAGGCGCTATGGGTCCAGGGCTGTGGATCTCAGACCCGGATCTCCCTGCCTGAGTCACCACAGGGGCCACGCAGGCCTGGCAGGCCATTCTCAGAAGTGGAAGAGCACACATACTGGGCCCCTTCCTGCCTCGGAGCTGGGCAACAACAAGGACCCAAGCCGAGCAGGAACTCAGGCAGGTGTGGTGGTGCACACCTGGAATCCATATGCGGGGGCTGCTCAGAAGGATCTCAAGTTCAAGCCCCCTGCTGTTAAGAAATTGCCTATAAGACCAAGATAAAGCAAGACCTATGCAACCAGAGTTGTAGCTTTTGGGTCTGATAAGGTCAGTGAAATCCCCTCAGGATTTATCCTGAGATCCTGTACCTCAGATTGCAGATCCTTTGTCAGTGTCAGCCATGTAGATGAGTCACGGTCATTGCTTGGCCAATGTGCTCCCCGTGAAAGCTGGAGAAAATGTTTTCTCTCCAAGTGACTCTCCTTAGGCACACTCTACATCATCGATCACTTTCCTCTATGGCCCCATAATCTCCTTGATCAGAAAATTTGGGACACTACTGAGTTACATGACGTTACAGTACAAGTTCTCATATGTCCTGACTCTTAATTGACCTTGGAAGGCTAGGGCCAAAATGTTGGCTTTCCTTGCTTTATCTTGGTCTTAACCATGCTGTTATGTTGAGCTGTAGGGGACTCAAGTCAACAACTTCTGACATTGCCAGTGAAGCGGAAGACCCAATACTATTATGGACTACTGGACTCTTTTAGAATATTTTGCTGAGTTAACACACCTATAATATTCAAATGGCGGAACTAAACAAAAAAGGGGATACAGATGAATGTCCATTGTGTATCTGTGTATTCAAAGTGGTTAGGATAGATATATAGTCACATTCTCTTAATGAATAGAGGGATTTGTTCTAATGGTGTTTGTAAATAGGATATCATGTCTGCATCTTGTACAGCAAATAACCACTAGGAAGAGAGTCTGCAATGTGTTAATTATTGGAACTGTCCTACCAATTTGACTTGAAACTGTCTCATTGCTATTTGTTTCTCAATAAAATTATGGGGAAAAAAGATATAAAAATAAAGTCTGTAAGAGAAAGGTTATGCAAAAATAAATAGATAAATAAATCTCCTAGAGAAGCTGGCAAGGCGTGCCTGCTAGTGTTTGAGAGGAGACCAAAGACAGGCCATGCCAGAAACAACAGGCCCACCCCAAACAGCCCGCCTGTGGGGTGAGTCAGCCATCCCCGGAGTGAGTGTATGCTAGTATTTCCCCATTTTACAGACAGGGAAACTGAGGCACAGAGTGGGATGGCTTCTCTGTGGTTGCACTGTGGCAGAGCCTGAGTTTGAAGCCTGTTAGTGCCCCCTCCCCCTGGCTCTGCAGTCTGGTAGGTGTCCCGGCAGGCTGGTCCCTGAGCTTGCACGTGAGGTAGGTATTGGAGCAAGACCGTCGCCCATGCATGGAGCATGCTGAGGATCAGGGTGACCCCAGCCCTGCTAACTGAGGCTTCCTCTGTGTCTTCCAGCTCACAGCCCCACAGTTCCCTGTAGTTGTCAAGCTGGGACATGCCCACGCCGGAATGGGAAAGGTAAGAGACTATCCCCGTGGGCACCAACACGCGCCTTCCCCCTCCCATCCTTTTCAGGGTCTCCAACCCACGGCTCAAGGGGTCACTCCGGGACTGTGGGTCCTTGATCTCTGTGGTTCTGGTGGAAGAGGGACAGGTGGACAGCATCAGGTGGACTGTGGCTTCCAGGTCACCTGCAGGGCTGGCTCCTAGAGTGCCAGGCACGCAGGACCACAGAAGAGGCCGGGAGCCACCAGCGTCTGCCACGGCAGGGCTGTCCACGCCCCAGCCACTCCACTCTCAGCCACCAGGTGCAGCATCACAGGCCAAACCCACCTCAGACTGGGGAGAAAGACAGCCAGGTGGTTCACACGATCCACTGGGACCGCGGAGAGCTCAGCTGTCCCTCGCTCTTGTTCCGGCTTGCCGCCCCTCCCTGGTGTCTCCCGGCTCTGTCAAGGCATCCAGGCCCAATCCAGAGGGGCAAAATCAGGCTCACAGCCAGGTGCAGGGGCACACCCCTGTAATCCCATTGCTCCGGGAGGCTGAGGCAGGAGGATCAAAGGGTCGAGCCCAGCTGAGCAATTAGTTGACTTAACAAGACCCTGTCTCAAAATAAAAAATAGATGGGCCGGGGAGATAGATCAGTAGAATAAGTGCTTGCCTGGCAAGTGCAAGGGCCTGAGTTCAATCTCCGGTTCTGAAAAAAAGAAAAGAAACAAAGGCTGGAGTGCAGCCAAGTTTCAGGCCCTGGGTCCAGTTTCCAGCACTGAAAACAATGAAGTCTGCTCAGGAGAAGAAGCGCAGAGTGGGAGGAAGCTGCGTACGGCTGGGCGAGCCTGGAACCACAGGCAGCTCCCACGAGCAGGAAGACACAAGGCCCTCCTGCGGGAGGCCAGCACTGCAGTGGGGGGCAGTGTGCGTCCCAGAGCACGGAAGTCACAATGTTGTGTGGCTTGGAATCGGTAGTGGGGGGCACCCTGGCCCAGGGCCACCCCAGATCCACGGCACCCCGAGCTCCTATGTGAAGCAGCTTTAGCTGCGATAGTCAGGGGCGTCCTTGCCACCCACCAGGAGGGCCCTGATGCCCCTGTGAGCCTGGTAATGCACCTGCCTGTCTGTGGTGGCCCCCCACAAGGAGCCCCAGCCCCACGTCACCAGCACAGAGGCTCAGAAGCCGGCCCAGAGTCCATCCCGTTTCCTCCGCTGAAAGCAGGACCTGGCAGCACAGCACTGACGACAGGGCCAAGAGCGTCCTGACGTGCAGCGGGCCCCTCCCATCCCTCACTCTGTGACCATGGCCCTGATCAACTCGCATGGGAAATGGTCAGGGGACCCAACCCCTTCACAGCCACTGCTCCTGAGGTGACACTGAGGCAGTGACTCCCCCGCCGTTTCCATGGAGATTTGATATGAGTGATGGGAGTTCCATGGACTCTCAGGCCGTGGAGCCCCTGGGGCGGGCGGGCAGGGACTGCCCATCTTCTTTGGTATCCATGGGATTGGTGCTGAAAGTAGAGTCCCACAGAAACAGAGAGACAAATGCAACTTCCGAGCCGTGCGGCTATCCGTACAGCCTCGCCTGGCCAGGTAGACCTGGGAGGACCTGCGCAGGAAGTGTGAGGGCAGAGCTTCCCAGGCACAAGCGCATTCTCAGTCCCCGGGGAGCGGCGACTGGAAACGAGGCGAGCGCACAGAAAGCCCGGATGGTCCTCATCCCAGGGCCTTTCACTTTTTAACTGAGAATTTTTTATCAGTTGGTAAGAACTCGTCACACATTAAGGACATTAATCTTCTGCCATGTTCAGTAATGTTTCTGCTCTTGACAACCAACATCCCACGTGGTTATTCAGCTTCTGTCCTCTGCAAAGCGTGTTGTTGAGCGTCCGGTGTGTCCGTCCCTGGAGGCTGCGTGGTAGAGCCACTGAGCATGGAACCAGAAGCAGGGGCCTTGCTGGCCGTGTGGCCTGAGGTGGGCTCCCCAGCCCCTCCTCAGATCCTCTGTCCATGAAGTAGAGATGATACCAGTGTCGCTCTCAGGGGGCAGCCGTGAGGAGAGACCTCACCGTGTCGCCCGCTGAGCTCAGGCCTGGAACACAGGACACCAGTGAATATTATTTATCCCTATAACAGATGGCTTGGACCAGCCCTGCGGGCCCAAAATCCAGCTGAAGTCGACAGGGGCGAGATGACTAAATCCTGTGTCAGACAATTTATTGCACTTGGCTACAAGTACAGTATGAGTCAGGAGAGTATTAAGTTGCCAAAAGCTCTAATCAACAAAGGCAAGTAAATCGCTGCAAATGAGCTCAGCTGCACGAGGTGTCAAGAAAGATAAGTCAAACCACAGCGAGCTGCGCTGTGCAACAGCCAGAATAGCTAAAAGTAAAAGGACTAATCACCATAAGTGTTGGTGAGAACAGGGACAACCGGAGCAGGAAAATGTGCGCCTAGAGAGGGCGTGCCTCGCCCCACCACGCGCGCGCGCGCCGTCATCCACCGGCCAGGAGCTACGCAGGGCGTTAGTGAGCCCACCTCAGTGAATGCAGGCACGAAACAAAGCGCTTGTTTGTAATTGTTCTATTCACAACTTCCAAAACTAATGTGCCCATGAACAACAGAATTGATAAAACAGTCGTACTAAGGAAATAAAAAGAAGCAAGCCACATGCAGTGGCACAGACGAGTCTCACAAATGCAGCACTGAGTACAATTTGTCGAATGTCAGAGAACAGAGAATGCCTACTCCTTCGGTCCCCAGGATGCAACACTCGAGGCAGGGCCATGAGCACCGCGGGGGGCAGACCTGCAGAGCCATTCTGGACGAGCCTGTCTGGGAAGAGCAGCGCTCCCACAGAGGAGGCGCAGGAGGCTGCTTCCCCTCCTGACCGATGGGCTGGTGACCCCCGAGGGGCACTGGCCCTGGACTTGTCCTGCTTACTTCCTGCCCTCTCCTCGGCTCGGAGCTACTCCCGGCCAGCCACGCTGATGTCCCCACCAGGCCGTGGCTGGAGGCTCTGCTCGGGTCAGATTGGGGGAGCACCTGGGAGGGACAGGGACAGACCAGTGAGCACGGAGGAGCCAGCTGCTCCAGAAGGGCCGGGGCGGGGCGGGCACCGGGGACCAGGCCCTGCATGCCAGAGGCCAGCCTGGCCACACCACACCGAGCCCAGCCCCGGCAGGACCAGGTGGAGCTCTGCTGCCCCACTCTCTGCAGGGTCTGCCGCCACTGCCTGGCGTCTCTGCCCTGGCCCTTTGAGCCCTACTTTTCATGATCTCTTTCCATTTTTCTTTTGTATGAGTCCATGTTTGTGATGCTAACGTGCCCTTGCGCAGCTGGTGCCGGGCGTGGCGCGGGTCACCGCCTCGTGACCTGAGTGCCTCCCCTCCTTCCTCTCCCGGCCCCCTCCCCCACTCTTTATTTATAATCTAGGTTTCTCGCAGAAAGGAAGCCTTGCAATAGTTAAGACATGTCTGATCTATGTCACGTCCTGTCCCGGTGTGCCCACTGGCCTGCAGATGGCTCAGGCGTGTCCTGAGTGTGTCACCTGTGTCACGGCAGAGCAGTGCCCCGTGTGTGAAATGCCCACTCGTCTGCTGATGGACAGTGTCTGCCTCTAAGATGGACCTATTATGAGTTGTGTTGCTACCAGCAGGGCGCCTGTGACCGCTTAATATGATGTCGACTCCGGGGAAGACGCCTAGACCAGTGGGACAAATGGAATCTCTAGTTTTAGGGTTTGTTTGGCTTTTTTTTTACATTTTTAAAATCATTTATTTACATTTTATGTATTTATTTATTTATTTGGCACAGGGTCTTGCTACACAGCTCAGACTCATAGTGGTCCTCCTGTCTCAGCCTCCCCAGCACTGGGATTACAGGCGTGCTCCACCATGCCCGGTTTCAGTGGTCAGCACAGCACAGAGCCAGTGTGGCCTGCAGTACCGGGGATCAAACCCAGGTCCTTGCACTTGCCAGGCAGGTGCTTAGACTGCCGCGTTGTCTCCCCAGCCGCGCGATAGGTTTCAGAGGGCTCTCTGCATGGGTTTCCACAGTGATTACACTAACTTACATCCCACCCACAATGTAGAAGGGCCCGCTTTCCTCGGCAGCATAGCCCGCCCATGTGACTGTGGGATTTCTTGGGGACCGTCACTCTTCCTGGGGTAAGACAGGAGCTCACACTGTTTTAACTTGTACTTCTCTAGTGGCCCACCCATGCTGAGCATTTTTCGTGTGCTTCTTGGCCATTTGTGTTTCTCTTTGGCCATCTTTTGAGATTGTATTTAGTGGAGTTTAACTTTTTTTTTATTTTTTATTTTATTTTTAAGTTTAACTTTTCTGCGTTGTCTGTGTATTCTAGAGGTCGGTCCTCTGTGTGAGGGGGAGCTGGCAAGAGCATTTCCCGTTCTGTAGGTTGGGAAAACCTTCACACCTGTGTCGTGAGCCATGAAGCTGAGGCAGACAGACCTGCGCAGTTCGCGCACAGCGAAGCTATGTAGTTCCCACACCCCTTTGGCCAGGCGCTGCTCCAGGCTTCATGTAGCTTCACGGGCCTGTGAGCCCGTCGGCCACGCTGCCCTGGAGAGGACCCAGCCGCTCTCCCAGTGATGCTGTGCTTTTGACTGATACCAAGAGATGCCCATGGAGAGGGACAGCAACGCCAGCCCCTGTGAGCATACCCTGCATCTGTGTCCATCAGAGATCCTGGAGAGGTCAAGGCCCGGCCACTGCAGGGCCCTGCGGGCAGCAATGTTTGCGGAATCTGGAACCAGCTTCTGGGTGGAGTCGGCCTGCGGGTACCAGCTCCATGTCCTTGGTGAGGTGTTTGCTCTTGGCCTACCCCGATGTCCTCACCTCTGTTGGGGACCATGATGCCCCTCCTGGGGCTATACTGATGGCAGGGGCATCAGCTCTGACCAGAAGGGCACCCAGTGAGCTTGACGCAAGCAAGCTCTAAGCGCTGCTTCGATAGCTTCCCTGTTGATCTCAGCCGAAACGAGCACTGGCTACTAATCAAT